TGTGCATTGCGCGAGGAGAGGCGGGGCGCTGTGCCTGCCCCAGGACGCCACCGCTGTGGCCGAGAGGCCTGCGCGCCTGTTTGGGGGGGGGCGGGGGGCGGCGGTGACTGGGGCGGGGAGGACGGGGGCGCTTCGCAGTCTCTGGGCAGACTCCCTGCGGCCACCGGCCAAGCTCTATAAGAAGGCGAGCACCAGGGATGCAGAGCATGCCCGCATGGGATGGAGTCCCTCGGGCATGCATTCGTCGAGTGCCCAGTGCTGACTCAGCGGTTGCTGGACGATGAGGAGGAGTGGCCTCGAACCCGAGCTGGCTGCAGCCAGGGATGCGATGCTCGAGCAAGGGCCTGTGGGGGAGGGGCGCCAGGACACGGACTCCTTCGCGGTTGGCGTGGGGACCCCACGGTGGCCGCGAGTTGAGGTGCCACCCCCCCTGAGGACCCTACACGTTCCCGAGCTGCGTCGATGCGGGTGGGCTGCCGTCATGACGGACGCCAATGGAGTTCCTGTGAGAGCGGCGTACGGAGGGCTTGCAGGCGGCCAGCAGACGGTTGGCAAGGCCGAGAGAGTCGCGGGTCTCAAGGCCCTCCAGCACATGCCGCCAGCACGGCTGGTTATAAGCGATCTGCTCGAGTTTGCGAATGAAGGGCGGCAGTGGAAGGCTGGTGAGGGGGCTAGCTTGACGGCTGCGAGCGATGCATGCCCGAGTGTCTGGCGGCAGCTCTGCAGCCTCCAGCGTGAGCCTCCCAGATTCGCCTGGGTGCCGTCGCACCTGAGCGATGAGGATGTGTTGTTTCCCGCTCCTGGTAGTCCGCCCCCGCCTTCCTCCCTCTGGGTGGTCGGGAACAGGTGGGCGGATGTTTTCGCCAGGCTTGGGGCCAGGTCAATCAAGCTGCCTGATGGGCACTGTAGGTTTTACAAGGACTGCCTCTCGAGTGCCAAGGTGTGCGCTCGATACCTCGCCTGGGCGGCCCAGCGGAGCTGCAGGCTTGAGCTGTGGTCCGAAAAGGGCGAGGCCGAAGGCGCCGAAGGCCAGCCAAGGGCCAAGGACCCGACCCAACTTAAGATCACTCTCGCGCTGCATGAGCACGATCTGGTTGAGCTTGGGGGTGGGTTATTCTGCAGGAGGTGCCGACGTTCGGCCAAGACCGCCGAGGCCCGCCGACAGCTGGCGGGAGGCACTGGCAAGAGATGCGTCCCCTCCGCCGTGGCGCTCCTGCAAGCTAAGATCCAGGAGGCTCGCGCCAACGCCGACCTGTCTGGGGTGCCTGGGGGGTCCTCTTGGGGCGGGGCCCCGTGGGGCTCGGGCTCTGTTTGCGGGGGCGGGGGTGAGCGTCTGGGGGTTGGGTGGGCGGGCCTCGAGGGGCAGAGCATCCTCGTGCCTGGAGGGCACGACGTCACCGTCACGGGTACGGTGGTGTGGTGTCGGCGGTGTCGGGCCTACGGGTCCGGCAGGGTGGGCAGGGCGTTCGCGGCCCCATGCCCTGACCCGCAGGAGTTGCCCACGAGTCGCAAGCGTGTTCTCCGTGTGTTGGCGCGGGGGCAGCACCCCAAGAGAGGCGAGACTCTCGAAGCCAAAGAGGTCCTGGCCGCCCTCGCGGGTGGAAGGGCTCCCGACGAAGGGGCTGAGGAGCCCGACAAGGCTGGGGGCCTGTCTGACAGTGATGGGAGGGGCGGGGGTGCCGTCGTCGAGGCGTCGGGGGGGGGGGGGGGAGGGATCCTGACGCGATGAGCAGATCCGCCGTGTGGCGGGTGAGCAGGCCCGATGACGCGCGTGCTGCGAAGTCGGAAGTGGCTCACCTGGTGGTTGAAAGCCCTAGTTCTGGATTCAAACCGTCGGGCTGCCGCGGCCTGGCGGGGGGGGGGGGGCGACGGCCAGCTCCTGCGTCTCCCAGGGGGGGGCCGTTGGCTGACACTCAGCCTCCTTCGGGGCCGACAGGCCCAGTGTTGGCTGACGGCTCCCAGCGCTCGGTGCAAGACAGTTCTCGTGTTCGGAGGGCTGCGGTCGGGGGTGGAGCTCCCGACGCGCCTCAGACGCCTGCGGCTGCAGGCGAGACCGCGGCTGGCCACTCCCAGTCGAGAGCGCGGAGGGCGGCTGTCAGGAGTACGGCTGCTGCTGCGAGCAGGCTTGCGGTGCAGTGGGCGAGCTCGCTAGGTGACATCCGTGCTGCAAGAACGGAGGTGGCGCCAAGGGCCGCTGAGTTCCCTAGTTCTGGAGTCAAGCCGTCGGGTTGTAGCTACCTGGCGGGGGAGGGGGGAGCGACGGCCAGCTCCCGCGCCTCCCGGGGGGGGCCGTTGGCGGATGCTCAGCCTCCTGAGGGACCGACAGGCCCAGTGTTGGCTGACGGCCCCCAGGCTCAGGTGCATGTCCTGACTAGTATGCGGAGGGCTGCGGAGAGGAGAGGCGCTCCCGACGAGCCGCCGTCGCCTGTCGCTGCTGGCGCGCCCGTCGCGCGCCCCTCCCAGGCTAGGGCGTGGAGGGCTGCAGTCGGGAGCGGAGCTCCTGGCGCGCCTCCACGGCTCGATGCTGAGGAGGTGAGGCCGTGTGGAGGGGGTGGGGGTGGGGTCGTGGGGTCGTCGTCGGACGTGGGGGGCCGAGCTTCGGCGCTGTCGCCAGAGTCCGACGAGGAACGGCGGGCCCGCATTGTTCAAAGGTTGCTGCGGGCGGCGCGGGGTGAGACGCCCGTGGCTGAATTGGGCCTGGCCCAATTGCCAGGCCTGCACGGCGGAGAGGCCCCGCGAGGGCCTTGGGCTGTACCCCAAGAGAGGGTGAGGGCCTCAGGGGCTCAGGCCGACTGCTAAGCTAGTGGTTGGCTGGGTTCCCTTCTTTCCTCAGCGCAGCAGGGGTCCGTGCTTGGACTCTTGCTCGACGTCATTCCCATTCCCATTCCTTCCTCCTCCTCCTCCTCCTCCTCCTCCTCCTCCCCCTCCTCCTCCCCCTCCTCCTCCTCCTCCTCCTCCTCCTCCTCCTCCTCCTCCTCCTCTTCCTCCTCCTCTCTCCTCTTCCTCCTCCCCCGGCGGGCTGGAGGGTACGGCGAGCCGGGGGCGGCTCGCCGCCGCTCCCGCAGGTTTCGGGCTCGTGCATCTGCTGCAGTCGAGGGAACAAGCACGGGGGCCCTCATCAAGATGTCGCGGGATCTCCTCGATGCCGATGTTGGTCATGGTCCGTGGCCGCAGTGTTTCCGCGTTCAGTTTTTGTCATGGTTCCTGTGTTTCGCCCCCTCAATTCAGCGCATTGCGTCACCTCAAGCATCATAACAAAAGTAGCAGTGTTGCATCGAGTTCTGCTGGCCATCCTGTCGGACTTGTGACTCTTGCTTCGCCGCGCGAGCGTTCGCCGATGTAAGCGGAGGTTTGCGACCATGTGCGAGACCTACCCCTGCGGGTCCGATCGGCGCCGGGGTGTCGAACACCCCCTGGGACTCAGTCGGCCGCACGCGCCCTTCAAATTTTTCGCCTGGCCAATTTTTCCGAAATCTTACCTGCAGGGGTGGGGTTCGCATCCGACGGTCGTGATGTATTGATTCCTTGTCGAAGAGTAGGGTTTTCAGGCCGTACTTCGGGCATCCAGCGGCTGTTCGGGATGCGTCTGGCACCCCCAAAACGCTGTCGGCGAGGCGCAGCCGCTGGAAAGCATCCTGGGTTGAGAAGATTTTATAGGCTTACGCCACATCCGCCGACCCCTTTTTTTCATCAGGGGCTATCGCCGGGTCTCGGGAGCTCTCTCGGAGGCTTTGCGGGGCGGCCTAGGGGCATCGTGGGTTGTCTGGATGCCATCTTGGGCGTCTTGGAACGGTCTTTCGGCGAGTCGAGGTTCTCTTGGACTGTCCTGGGGGCTTCTGGGGAGGCCTCAGGGGTTGTCCATCGTGGCTGCCGGCCGTGGGCACCGCGGCTGCCGCCCATTCCGCCATGCGTTGTGTTGGGCTTTGTTTGACCAGGCGATGTGGTAGAAAGGGACAGGAGGAGGAGAAGGAGGAGGATGCGGTGGAGGAAGAGGAGAAGAAGGAGGTCAAGGAAAAGGAATTCGGCGATTTTGGTATCTTAGTGTTTCCTGAGAGGCGTACTGGGGGGCCTTTTGGGATGTCTTGACGGATTCTTGGTGCCTTCGGCCGCTCCCTTGGGCCCTCTTGGGGGCCTCCGGGGGCGGAAGGCTCGGAGCTTCGGTTCGGGCTCCCCGTCTTGGGCCCCTCTTGGGGCCGCCTGGGGGTTCTCTTGAGCTATCTTGGGCGCCTCTTGGGCCGTCTTGGCGACTTCTTGGGCCGTGTTGGGGCCCTGTTGGGAGCCTCTTGGGCCCTCTTGGAGCGGTCTTGGCGGCCTCGAGGGCCATTGTCAACGCCGTGTTGGCCGAAAAGGCGTATATGCCAAACATGTACGTTTTCCAATGGAAATTGCACGATTTTGGCCTCTGGGGCCCCGCTTCGGCAGCCTGAGAAGACTTAAAGGAACCAGCGAGGGCTTCCGAAATCTTCGGTTGAACAGAGTCATGTCGTCGGAGACTCGGTGATCTCCAGGATCTCCGCCATCACGCAGTGATAAGAAAGCTCAGGCGCGAAGCGCGCTATAGCTAATGCCCCCCCCGAGTTTGCCAAGCGGCAGCGCCAACTGGAAGACATAGTGCACCACCCGCCTGTGGCAGAGGACCTGCTCTGGAGACTCGGGGGGGGGGGGTCGGCGGCCAGCGAGGGGGGGAAGCGAGAAGGAGAGGGCCCTCCCAGAAGGCTCGGAATTCCCCCGGCCTTCCGAGAAATGTTCTGCGCCTCCCCGAGGACAGAAGAACTTCTCAGAAGGGGCGCGAGGGCTTCTGAGGAGTCCCGCCGCCTTCTGCGAAGGCCTTCTCCTTCTCGCTTCCCCTCCTCGCTCGCCGCCGGGTTAAAGGGACTGTTTCGGCAAGGTTTTAGACGACAGCAGCGACGACGACGACGACGCTCGCCGCCGAGGGGGGGCCGAGGGCCGAGGGCGGAGCGGCCACGGGGGCGGTTGGCGGCCGCGGGTTGACGCCCCAGGCGGCCGCGGAGGACGACGGCGAGGACCTGGGCGGCGGCCCCGACGCCGGAGGGGCGAGCGGGGCAAGGGGGGGCCGCGGGGGCCCCGTGGCGGGCCTGTGGTCGAGGGGGGGGGGGGGAGGAGGGAGCAGGGAGGGTGACGGAAGAGGAGGGAGGATGAGGCGGGAGGGCGAGGAGGAGGAGGATGAGGGTGAGGGTGAGGGTGAGGATGAGGGTGATGCTGCTGCTGCTGCTGCTGCTGCTGATGATGATGATGATGATGATGGTGCTGCTGCTGCTGATGCTGATGATGATGCTGCTGCTGATGATGATGATGGTGGTGGTGCTGCTGCTGATGATGCTGCTGATGAAAATGATGATGGTGCTGCTGCTGAAAATGATGATGCTCATGATGCTGCTGCTGCTAGTTAATGATGATGTCGCTGCTGATGATGTGTATTACGATGATGCTGCTGCTGATGATGATGATGAATTGTGATGGTGGTGGCGGTGATGATGGTGAAGTTGATTATGATGATGCATGCGATGATGCTGATGATGATGCTGCTGGTGTTGATGCTGCTGCTGGCGCTGATGATGATGATGATGCTGATGATGATGATGATTATGGTGATGCTGATGACGATGATGGTGATGACGCTGGTGGTGGTGGGGGTGATGACGATGATTGTGATGTTGCTGCTGCGGCTGAGGATGTTATTATGATGCTGATTGTGGTAATAATGACGATGCTGATGATGCTGATGCTGATTGTGATGATGCTGGGGCTGATGATGATGATGATGATGATGATGATGATGATGATGATAGTGATGGTGCTGGTGCTGATGATTACGGTGATGATGCTGATGGTGCTGATGATGCTGATGATGATGGTGATGCGGTTGACGATAATGACGACATGCATTATGATGAAGGCGGTGATGATGTCGACGTTGACGATAATGACGATGATTATGACGATGACACCACCGACGAGGATTACTACGGTGATGATGCTGATTATGATGATGATTCTGCTGATTATGATGATGGTGCTGGTGATGATGGTGGTGATGATGATCATACTGGTAATGATGATGTTGATGATGATGGTGATGCGGATGATGATGCGATGATGATGACGACGATGATGATGATAATCATGATAATGATGCTGTTGATGATGATGATGATGATGATGATGATGATGATGATGATGACGATGATCATGATCATGATGATGATGATGATGATGATGATGATGATGATGATGATGATGATGCTGATGCTGATGCTGATGCTGATGCTGATGCTGGTGCTGATGATGATTGGTGGTGGTGGTGGTGATGCTAGTGATGATGATACTGATGATGATGGGTGTGGTGATGATGATTGATTGATTGGTTTATTGATTGATTTATGGATTGCCTGACAGACTCACTGACGGATGGAGTGATGGACTGGAAATAAGGCGGCGGAGGAGTATTTGGGAGGAGGAGGGCAAGGGTAACGGGGGGGAGGAGAAGGGGGGGGGGCGGCTAGGGAGCGGGTGGGAACGGTGGAGGCGGAGGATCAGGAGGAGGAGGAGGGAGAGGAGGGATGGAGGGAGGGAGGGAGAAAGGGAGGACGGGAGGGGGAGGGAATTGACGCTCGACAATGTCTTCCCGTGCTAAGAACGCTCCAGGCCACCTTTAGGTAGTTCTGTAGACGGCCGCGTCGTCGGAGACTTCCTGCGGACACGCTGGATCTCGGGGATCGCGTATTTCTTGATTGTAGTCGCTTCGCTCATTCCGCCAGCCCGTATTGCCTCGCTGCTTTGGGGTTGTGTTTGGGCCTTTTGGGGGCCTCTGAGAGGCAGTTTTGAGGCCTCTTGGGGGCCGTGTTGGGCATCTTGGGGTCTCTTGGGGCCCCCAAGACCTCTTGGGGTGCCTCTTGGGGGCCCCTTGGGGCCTCTGGGGGGGCCTCTTGGGGCCTCCTGGGGGCCTCTTGGGGCTGAAGGCTGGACTTTTTGGTTCCTGGTCCCCGTCTTGGGCCTCCCTTGGTGCCGTTTTGGAGCCATCTTGGGCCATCTTGGGCGCCTTTTGGGCTGTCTTGGCGGCATCTTGGGCCGTCCTGGGGCCCTCTCGGAGGCATCTTGGGCAGTCTTGGGGCGGTCTTGGGGGCCTCTTGGGTCGTCTTGGAGCGTTGGGAAGCCGAAAAGACGAGAAACGCCGTACATGCGACAAATGTACTTTTTCCAAATGGAGTGGGGCGATTTTTGCTTGTCGGGGCCCTCTTGAGATGCTTCTTCGAGGCCTCTTTGGGCGTCTCGGAGGCGTCCGCGGCCGTCCGGAGGCCATCTTGGGCGTCTTGGACCGATCGGTCGGGGACTCGGAGCCCTCTTGGACCGTCTTGGGGATTCTTGGGGCCCTCTAAGAGTGCTCTATGGCACCTGAAAGCCACGCCCAGAAGGAAAAAGCATCTCTGAGTCGGACCGGCCGGGGTACTTTTCGTCCGGGGGTCCCCAGGGGCCGCCACGCGCGCGCGAACTAGAATTATTGTTAACCTGTTACCAGAGATCTTGGCACGCCTCTGGCCCGTTTGGTCGGTGAATATATGTGTATATACATTCTCGAAACATGTACTTGTCTCTGTGAGGTCTTTGGTTCCCCAGGCCACGCCCTGTCAGGGCTCTCCCCCCTCTGGCTCGCCGTGCGATGGGTCGTGCCTGGCGGCTCGTCCTCTCCAGTCGTCCGCCGTGTCGTGTCGGGTCGTCTGCCGTGTCGTGTTCCTCGTCGTCGCTTCTCTGCCGTTTCGTGCCGTGTCGTATCGTTCCGGGGCCATGGGCCGTTTGTATGTTTCTCTTTTTTGTTCTTTATATCTCTCTCTTGTATGTAATGTATGTATGTATGTATATATGTCTGTCTGTCTGTCTGTCTGTGTGTCTGTCTGTCTGTCTGTATGTATGTATGTCTGTATGTATGTATGTATGTGTGTGTGTGTGTATGTGTGTACATTGTTGTATGTATAGACATATGTAAGTATGTATATGTATGTAAAAGTACGTATATGTTTTTTTTAGCCCTCTCGGCGGCGCATTCTCCCGCTGGCCCCCATCAGTCCCCTCCGGTTGGGGCCTCCCCCTTTGGGAGCCGCTGCTGTGAGGGGCTCCCCCCGCCTCTAAGGGTGTCGCCCGGGGCCTACGCCTGCGCGTGGCGGATTGCCGCGCGGCGCCGTGACCCTTCGGCGAGCCGTTGGGCTGGACTGGCCGCCGCGGCGGCGCGGATCCGTCCGATGCTTCAGGGGCAACGCTAGGGGGGGGATAGGCACAAGGGGGATGCATCGCCCCTCAATCGCCCATTGATCGCCGATGTGGGCCCGATAGCCCTAACCTTGCCAGGAAGGAAGGGCCGATTTATCGGCGATGTATCGCCGATTCAAGGTCGATGCATCCCCCCCATGCCGGTCCCCCCCAATCGTTGCCCTCCAGATGCTCTTTCACCCTTTCAGCCCTCCCTCTCGCCTGGTGCTCCTCGTCGTCGTCGTCCTCCTCGTCCTCGTCGTCGCCCTCGTGCTCCATCCCGTTCTCGTCGCCGCAGCCGCCGCTGCCTCGGTCGTCGTGGTCGTGGTCGTGGTCGTCGCTGTTGTCGTCGAAAACCTTGTCGAAACGGTCCCTTTATTCGGGCGCGAGCGAGGGGGGGAAGTGATAAGGAGAACGCTTTCTCAGAAGGCGGTGGGGCTTCTCAGAAGCCCTCGGGTTTTCTGAAAAGTTTCCTGTGTCTTCGGGGAACGTTCAAACACATTTTCATACGGCTGGGGGACTTCCGAGCCTTCTGAGAAGGAAGGCCGCCCCTTCTCACTTCTCCTTGGGCTCGCCGCGGATGTACACCTCCTGGGTCCATCCTGTTCAAATTGTTGAGCCGCGTCCTGGCGCGGCGAACGCCCAGAAATGGCCGAAACCTTCCGCAACGAAGACGCCACCGTCGCCGCCGCCGCCATTGTCGTCGTCGTCACCGCCGTCTCCGTCGTTGCCGTCGTCGTCGCTGTCGCCGTCGCCGTCACCGCCGCAGCAGTCGTCGTCGCCGTCGTCGTTGTCGCCGCCATCACCATCGCCGTCGTCGTTGGCGCCGCGGTCGTTTTGGTCGCCGCCGTCGTCGCCGTCGCCGAGACCGCCGTCGTCGCCGCCGTTGTCCTTGTCGTCTCCGCCGCCGCGGTGGCCGCCGCCGTCGTGGCCGTCGCCGTGTCGCCGCCGTCGTCCCGGTGGCCGTCGCCGCGGGTCACGGGAGGGGGGGTGGGCCGAGGCGCCGGGGAGCCCGCGGGCCCGCCCCGCTACGAGGTCGCAGCCTCTGCGGCGCCCGCCCCGGCCGGCAACGCCTTGGTTTGTCAGCTCGCCTGGCCTGGACAAGTCCAGCTTTCTTTCTACATCGGTTTGCTTATGGGAGTCCCAGCCTCAGACATGATCGCGTCGTGAAAAAATCAGGACGGGCGGTTTTTCGCTACTTGCGAGACCTGGGGGCCTTCGCCGGGCCTCGGGAGCGTCAAAAAAGGACTCAGGATGAAAAGCTGGTCCCGGGGAAAGGGTCGGGACTTCTGGGGACGCCGTCCTGAAACAATCAGGACGTCGCATGTCTGGGGCTCCATCCCAAGAGAGCTGCTCCACTTGTCCCCCTGTTGTGCCACCAAGTGGTTGCAGTGGCTTCCCCTCGCAGTTGCAGTGGTTGTAATGGTTTCCTCTGCTATTGCGTTGGCTTCCTGTGCCTATGCCAATGGCATCCCCACAATCGCGTAAGTAGAGTGGGGTCGAGTAGAGTAGAGCATATTCGAATGGAGTAGAGACGCCTACACGAGAAGACTAGAGCATCATACATGATAGTATATAAGTGTGTAGAGTACAGCGGACCAGAGTAGAGTAGAGTAGTTGAAAGGAGAGCGGAGTAGAGTAGAGAATAATAGATGAATAGAGTCGAGCAGCGTCTATCAAAATAGATTCTCGAAGACGCCTACGGCGAATCACCGCCGCCCCCTGCCTTTTTGGAAGCGCCTATGTGGCCGAAGGTTGTGGCCAGAGGCCTGCCAAGCTATCGGACCACGTGTTCCCCGGATCGGTTTGGAAAGCCTTCGGGGAATACGTGGGCATCTTGAAGATCATCTTGGCCATCTGGAGGCCATTCTGACCCTTTCGGGCCTTCTTGGAGGACGTCTAGGAGGGCTCTTGGGCCGTCTTGGAGGCTATCTTGAGCGTCTTGGAGACCTCTTGGGCCGTCTTGGGGGCCTCTTGGGGCCGTGTCTTGGGCCTCTTGGGCGATCTTTGTGGGCACTTGGGCGCCGTCTCGGGCCGTCGGAAGGCAGACAAAAAGCAAATGCCACAATCCTTCAAGAACCCATGGCTAATCAATGATTTTGGCCTTTTCGGGCCTTCTGGAGGCCCTCTTGGAGGCCTCTTGGGCCGTCTTGGGCCATCTTCGGGCCATGTTCGGCCGTCTTGGTGGGCTCCTGGTCCATCTGACGCCGTCGGAAGCCGTTTGGGGGGCCTCTGTGGGCCGACTTGGGGCCCTCTTGGAATGCTCCAGGGCCGTCTTGGAGGTCATCTTGGGCGTCTTAAAGGCCTCCTGTGCCATCTTGGGGGCCGTCTTGGGGCCCTCTTGGGCCGTTCTGGGGCCATCTTGGAGGCCTCTTGGGCGATCTTTCGGTGATCTTTGGGAGATCTTGGGCCGTCTCGGGCCGTCGGAAGGCCGAAAAGAAGCAACTGTCAACATCTGTCAAATACTTTAGGAACATCCATGTTTGTGGCCACTTCTGGCCTTCCTGGAGGCCTTCTTGGGGGCCTCTTGGGCCGTCTTGGGTCAGCTTTGAGCCAACTTCGGCCATCCTGTTGGGTTCCTGGCACGCCTGACGCCGTCGGGAGCCGTCTTGGGGGCCTTTCTGGGCCGACTTGGGGCCCTCTTGGGGCGCTTCGGGGCCTTCTTGGAGGCCATCTTGGGCGTGTTGGAGGCCTCTTGGGCCGTCTTGGGGCCCTCTTGGGGCCGTCTTGAAGGCCACTTGGGCCGCATGGGGCCCTCTTGGGGGCCTCTTGGGCGATCTTGGGGGCCTCTTGGGCCGTCTTGAGCCGTCGGAATGCCGAGAAGAAGCAAATCCCCAAATCCTTCAAAAACCTAGGGAAAATCAATGATGTTGGCCTCTTCGGGCCCTCCTGGAGGACCTCTTGGAGGCCTCTTGGGCCGTCTTGGAGGCCTCTGGGGGGCCTCTTGGGCAGTCTTGGGTCGTCTTGGACTCTCTTGGGCCATCTTGGAGGCCGTCTTGGACCATCTTGGGCGGACTTGGAGGCCATCTTGGACCATCTTGGAGGCCATCTTGGGCCAACGTGGCCATCTTGGACGCCATCTTGAGCCGTCTAGGAGGATTTTTCCGGGAATTGGGCGATCTACGGGTGGCCAACGGGTCGGGCCGAAGCCCACTGGGGAGTTCTTTTGGAAAAGGAACCAACACCAAAACCGAGAGGGTTCAGCACGCCAGGCACCCCTGTGATGAATCGACAAGGGGCGGTGGATCTCTTGGCCTTCTGCCCATTCCGCCACCGTGGTTAGGTTGTGGGTATGAAGCCTCTTGGATGTTCGTTGGGATCTCGTGGGGGGGGCCTTTCGGGGGCCTCTTGGAGGCAGTTTCGAGGCCTCAGGGGGCCGTTTTGGAGCCCCTTGGAGCCTCTTTTGGGCCTCTTGGGGGCCTTTTGAGGGCCTCTTGGGGGCGTCTTGGGGCCTCGTGGGCGCCTGTTGGGGCTTCCTGGGGGCCTCTGTTGGCGGAAGGCTCGGATTTTCGGTCCGTGTTCCCTCTTTTGGGCTCCTTTTGCATCGTCTTGTGTCCGTTTGGGTACCCTCTTGGAGGCCTCTTTGGCCGTTTCGGGGTGATCTTGGGGGCCTTTCGGGCCGCCTTGTAGCGTCGGAGAGCCGAAAAGGCGAAAACGCCCAAGTCCTCCAAAAAACCGAAGGCGAATTGATGATGTGTGCCTCTTGGGGCCCTCTTGGGAGGCCTTTTGGGTGCCTTGGGTGGCCTTGGGCTATTTTTAGACCATCTTGGGTGTCTTGGGTCGATCTTTGGGCGTTTCGGGGCCCTCTTGGACCGTCATGGGGGCTTGGTGGGGCCCTCTTGGTCCGTCTTCGGGCCCTGTCGGGCCCGAAGAAATTATGCGGGAGCACTTCCCAGAACCCGGAGGGCACGTGGGAAGCCCCGGTTGATTTGAGAATTTGGGTTCCAGTCGCCTTCGAGATCTTTCAGGGGTGAGGATTGAGGCTTAGAGGATTCGGCAAGTGAGGACACGCCCACTCCGCACCCAGAGGTAATATATATATATATGTATATATATATATATATATATATATATATATGTATGTATATATATAGATATATGAGTAGACCACGGTTTAATACAGAGTAGAAGAGAGTGGAGTAGGGCAGAGTAGGAGTAGAGTAGTGGACGTCGAGTGGAGTAGAGTTGAGTCAAGGTAGCCAGGTCGAGCGAGTCAGAGGGCCACGCCTGTTCCGATCCCTCACCCCACAACATACGAATGAATTGTGGCACAGCTTGATCTTGGGATTGGAACGCGTTCCCACCTCTCAAACGGAAGGCTCTCGCCCGCGGCCCCGCTTCCGACGATTTGGCGTTGGCGAATGGAAAAGTACGCGGGCCGCGCAGGGGTGGGAGCGGCAATCGTTGTGATGGTTGCGGTGCAGACGAAGCATGCGCAGCGCTGACACACAACTGCGGCTTTCACTCGGAAGCTGCGCGGCGCTTGCGCGAATTCGGCGTTTGGCCCGCTCTCGCGCGGCCCCGCTGCCGCTGTCGCTTTCGTGCGATTCGGCGAACGCGCCGCGTTCGCGCGGGAACGCCACTTCCAAGCGTAATGCGCACGGAGCTTAGGCGCGGTGGCACTTCGTCCCGCACGGGCCGCCCAAAATTGGCGAGTCAAACGTAGGCGCCACGTCAAAGCGGGAACGCCACTTTCAGGCGAAATCTGCTGGGCGCTGGAGCGAGACTGACGTTTTCGTCCGCTCGCGCGTCGGCGACGTTGTGCGCGAAGAATGGGCCGCGCCCCAATGGGAGTTCAACCCTCTAGAAAAATGGGCGCGGCGCCGTGCTGAAAACGACATTTCGGCTTTTCGCGCGGGATGTGCCCCGCGCCCCACTTCTGCTACGCATCTTGCGGCGTCGACGGCAGAACGCCCATATCAAAACGAAGCACTGTGATGATGCATGTTTGACAGGTGGGACGGGACGACCCGGACGTGGCCCCCTATCGGCCGGAATTGTGACAGAGTTGCAGTACAGACCGAATCTATAATTAGTTCGAGGAGTAAAATTGGGCAGGTGGTCGTTTCTAGGCGGGAGATTCGGGTCGAGCTGAATAGAATAACATAGTTCATCCGAGGGTAGGAAAGAACCTGAACGACTAGAGGGGAGGAAGACTAGAGCTGGGGTAGACAAGTAGAGTAGGATGATAATAGAGTCAGGTTATCCAGGTCAACCGAGTCAGAGGCCCCCGCCTATCCCTATCCCCCCCCCGCAATTTACACAATACTTGTGGTACAACTTGATACTGGGATTGGGACGCGCTCCCACCTCTCGAAGGGAAGGCGTTCGCACGCGGCCCCGCTTCCGACGGCGTGGCGAAGGGCAGAGTACCCGGGCCGCGCATGCGTGGGAACGGCAAATTTTGTGATGGGCGCGGCGAAACGAAGCATGCGCCGCGCTGACACAGCACTGCCGCTTTCACTCACAGGCTGCGCGGCGATTGCGCGAGGATGGCATTTCGGTCTCTCTCGCGCTGCCTCCCGCTGCCGCTGTCGCTTTAATGCGATTCGGCGAACGCCCCTTTGTCCGCGCCCGCGCGGGAACGACACTTCCGAGCAGGTTGCGAACGGAGCTTGGGCGGGGGCGACAAGTCGCCCACTCGCGCGCCCCCCCCCACTTAAATTGGCGGATGGCACAGATGCGCCGCTTCGAGGCTGGAGCGCCGCGTTCATGCAACACCTGTTCGGCGCCGAGGCGGGGACGAGATTTTCGCCCGCTCGCGCGTCGACGGCGTGGCGTGCGACAACACATTTGGAGGGCGAAGGAAGAGGTTTGCAACCAGGGGGTCCGCAAAAGGTGCTGAATGGCCCATGTCTGCTCAATATCGTTTATGTATATGATCGGGTATGATTGACATTCAATGTTGGCGGTCATGGATCGCCAGTCGTTCGCGCCCGCGCGTTGCCCGCGCGGGCAAACGCGCCGTCCATCCATTATCGTTCATACGTGCGGGCGTTCTTACATATCGCGCGCGGGGTGGAAACGTGGTGTGCAAGTGTGTCTTGATTGTGCTATTGATGATCGCAGAGATTCCCAAACGATGGTTTGCCGACCCCGAAAACAGATTTGGAACGGGTCCCGCGATTCCCCCACCACGTGAATTTACATGTTCCTTTTTTCTTCCCCGAATTCGAATTCGTATTTCCCTTTTTCCAACATGTGGATTCACATTTTGGCCCCGTTATCAAGATTCTTATGCCAAACTCCAACATGTGAATTCAGATTTCCCCTTTTCCAAAGTATGTAATCACATTTTCAGTTTTTCCCAACATGTGCGTTCAAAGTTCTCTTCTCCCTACCTTCTGAAAACTGGGCAGATTTTTACTCTCGCTTCGCCGCTTTCGTTCATCCCAACATTCTTTTCTCAGCGCCCGTTGCTTTCGTCGCCTCTCCCCAGCCCCCCGCTTCCTTACTTCGTTTACCCGCGGGTCTCGCGCACGGGTGCAGGCGGGGAGCTTGAATTATTGGTCCCCCCGCCGGGCACACCAATCGAGGATGCATCGCCCATGCATGGCCCATAGAGCCACCATTGCCGGGACCCTGCGCCCGACCCCCACATTCACTCTCCAAAAACTGGGTTTCGCGCCCCAGCGAGGGTTCAAGTCTTTAGAAAAGTGGAAAGTGTGTGCGGCGCCGAGGCGATAACGACATTTCGGCCCCACACGCGGGATGTGCCCCACGTCCAATATCAGTCGCACATATTGCAACACCGGCGGCGTAAAACCATGTTGGCTCGCAAACATTGATTCTTTATTATCGTTTTTGCCCGGCTAGGAGGCAGACTGTGGGGGGTGATACCCATAGAGAGTTGAAAGGCTGTGTGGAGTGGAGCAAGTGTAGAGTCGAGTAGCGGTGGGGCCGAATAGGGTAGGCTATATTAAGGGAGACCGGAGTACAGTAGGGTAGATGGCAGAGAAAAGTTTGATATGTGATAGAGTTGAAGAAAGTGGAGCAGAGCAGAGTCGGCAGAAGAGAACGGCATTCGGCAAATTATGATAGAGTGGGAACAACGTAGGATAGAAGAGGGTAACATAATTTTTGCGTGAATTAGCATAGAAGACGGGTCGAGTTGAGTCGAGAATAATCGGGTAGCATTGGGTAGGTCGGGGATGTTCGAGTAGGGTAGAGGTAGAGCGGCGTCGAGTATAGTAGGGTAGATGGTCGAATCTCGCTAGGTGGAGTAGATTCAAACAGACAGTAGTCGAGCAGGGTAGGTGAGAGTAGAGTACCACGGAGTACCGTAAGGTCAGATTCAGTATAGCCGGATCGGGTAAATCAGAGGACCCCGCCGATTCCCACATTCCCTCTCGCAACACAGGGATCACACGTGGCACGCTGGGTTTTGGAACGCGTTCCCATATCGCGTTCCCCTGTCGCTCGTGGGAGTATATATCAGTACGGAATTCGGACGGGGAAGGAATAGGGTAGATGAGAGCAGGATAGAGTAGAGTAGAGCAGAGTAGGGTAGGGTAGGTTACGGTAGACCAGGGTATGCTGGGTAGAATAGGTTGAAAATATCAGGATCGAGTAGAACAGGGTAAATGCTAGAGTGAAGGCGGGTAGAGTGATTAGAAGTAACTAAATGAGTATAGCAGAGCAGAGCAGAGCCGAGTAGACTGGAGTTGGATCAAACCGAGTATAATAGAAGATAATCGAGTGGAGTAGGAGTAAAGTGGACGTTCGTCAGGTCGAGCTAGTCAGGGCTCCGCGTACTCTCCCACCCGTCCAACAACATGGGAACACATTGTGGCACGCCCTTCTACTGGGACTGGAACGCGCTTCCACTTCGCAAACGGAAGGGTGGGGCTGCCGCTTTCATTCACAAGCCGCGCGGCGATTGCGCGAGGTCGGCATTTCGCCCGCTCTCGCGCGGCCCTGCTGCCGCTGTCGCTATCATGCGCTCCGGCGAACGAGCCATGCATCGCGTCCACGATGGAACGCCATTTCCGAGCGACAGGTCGCCCACTCGCGCGGCGCCCCCCCCAACAAAAACTGGCGAGTGAGAGATAGGCGCCGCGTCAAGGCGGGAGCGCCACCTTCAGGCGAAATCTGCTCGGCGCCGGAGCGAAAACGACATTTTCGCCAGGTCGCGCGTCGACGGCGTGGCGCGCGAAAAATGTGGGCGGCGCCTTCTATTTTTGAAAGATGGGCGCGGCGCCGAGGCGAGAGCGACATGTCGACCCGTCGCGCGGAATGTGCGCCCCGTCCCACTCACGCCGCTCACTTCGCAACGAGGACGACATACTGTCTACGCTGAGACGGCAAATGTCGGCTTTTTAGTTTTCTGTGCAGGTAGGATGGGGCATCCCCGAAGTGCCCCCTTCTCGGCCCGTTAGGTGGCAGATTGGGAGCATACAGATACAAACCAATGTGGCAATAGTGGCGAACACAGCAGAGTAGAGTAGAGCAGGGTTGAGTGGAGTAGACGTGGGTAGGGTCGGGTAGGCCGGGTAGGAATTGAATAGGCATATGAGAGCATCATTGAGTGTAATAGGGTGGACAGCAGGGTTGAGTAGAGGAGATTTGATTACATTAAACCTAGGGTACGGTATAGTAGAGCGGGGTAGAATAGCATTGAGTAGTAGAGTGGAATCAAATCCGCCAGGTCGAGCGAGTTAGAGGCCTCGTCTATCTTCACATCCCACCTACAACATCAACATATGTTGTGGCCCGGCCTTGTGTTGGGATTGGAACGCGCTCCCATCTTGCAAACGGACGGCGTTCGCGTGGCGCCCCGCTTCCACCGACGTGGCGAAGTTAACAAAACACAGGGGCGGGGATGGCAAAACTTCCAGTGGGCGCGTCGAAAACGAGACGTGCGCCCCTTCGGCACAGCACTGCCACTTTGACTCGCAAGCCGCGCGGTGCTTGGGCGAGGTCGGCATTTTGTCCGCCCTCTCGTGGCCCTGCTGTCGTTGTCGCTGTCATGCGATTCGGCGAACGAGCCATGCGCCGCGCCCGCGCTGGAACGCCACTCTCGTGCGAAATGCGCACGGAGCGTGGGCGAAGGCCACAGGTCGCCCACTCGCGCGCTCTCGTTCGTCCATTTGCGCGTCGAAGGAGTTGCGTGCGACAAGTGTGCGCCGCGCCCAAGGGGGAATTCAACTCTCTCGAAAGATGGGCGGTGCGCCGAGGCTACATATGTGTATATATATATATATATAGAGAGAGAGAGAGAGAGAGAGAGAGAGAGAGAGCGAGAGGGAGAAGGAGAGGGAGAGAGAAAGAGAGAGAGAGAGAGAGAGCGAGAGAGAGAGAGAGAGAGAAAGAGAAAGAGAAAGAGACAGAGAATGAGAGAGTGAAAGAAACGTATCGGCCTTTCGCGCGGGATGTGCGCCCCGTCCCATCATGGCCACGCACTTCGCAACATGGACGGCATAATGTCCATGTTGAAACGACGGCCAAGGGTTTTTGTAGTGTTTCTGGTCGCTGGGATGGAACATCCTGGGTGTGGGTTTAGTATCGGCCAGCGAGGTGGCAGAGTCGGTGTGTATGTGTATGTATACACCTAAACCAACAAGGAATAATGGCACGAGTAGAGCGGAACAGAGTAACGTCGAAAAAGCTGATGCAAGGTACGGTCGAGTAGGGCAGAGCTGAGTAGGGCAGGGTAGATGGTCGAGTAGAGCCGGGTAGAGTAAAACATCATAATCCGAGTGCATTATACGAAAGCAAAGTAGAGCATACTATAATAGAGTAGAACACGTGTGAATTTATTGAATATGAATGTACTAGGAGTGGGGTAGAGTTGAGTAGGATAGAAGGCGAATAAAGTACAGAAAGGTCGGGTATAATATAGTAGCAGGGCATGAACGGGTAGAGTGTAGTCGGGTAGAAGGTCGAGTAGGGTCCAGAAGAATAGAGCCAGTCCACTCCAGTCCATCTCATCTCGTCTTTTGATGTATTTGGGGTCAGCCCTGGCTGATATTCCCGCCAAGGGCAGTACGTTTGTCAACTCATGAGTCTTTTATCATTGTTTTCTCTTGGCTTCGGTATGATGCCCGGACGTGTGAAAACCTGCGAGCAGCCGAGTGAAGGGGGAAGCGTCGGCCGTGCGCGCCACGGGGTGGCGAGAGGGGGCGGCCTTGTGTAAGGCAGGGCGCCTGTCAGAGGGTCAGGGGGCTTCGAAGAAGTCTTCTCCCCCCCAGGCACTTCTGAGAAGGCAGGGCGATTGTCAGAGGGGTAAAGGGGGTTTCCAAGGCCCCTCGGAGAAGGCCCCTTCGGAGAAGGCCCCCCCGGGCCCTTCGGAGAAGGCCCCTTCGTCCCAAGAAACACCGCGCCTTCTTAAGTGGTCGCCCCCCCTGGAGACCCCCCCCTAGTCCCCGCGTGCGCGCCGCCAGGGGAGGGAGGGGGAGACTTGGAAGGGGGGGCTGCGCCCAGACATGCGACGTCTTTATTTTTCAACACTGCGTCCCTGGAAGTCCCCACCCTTCCCCCAGGGCCGGCTTTTCATCCCGAGTCGTTTTTCGACGCTCCCGAGGCCCGGCGATGCCCCCCCCGGGGCCGAAAACGGGGAAAACCATCCCCTTCTTGATATTTTTTTTTCCGACGCGATCGTGTCGGGGCGTGAGAGCGGGGGCCCGGCCAGGTGGGGCAGTTGCTGGAGCTGCGATGCGGGGAGGACAGCGTCGTCGTCGTCGTCGTCGTCGTCGTCGTCGTCGTCGTCGTCGTCGTCTCTCCGCGGCCGCGCCGCCTCCGAGGGAGCCGTGGGCGGCGCGCCGGCACCTATTTTGGCATGCTCGGGGTGAGGATCGATCGTTTCCGGGGCGCTCGGGGGCCGCCGTGGTGCCCGATGCGCGGGGGGGGCGGGCAGGGGAGGGAGGGAGGGGCAGAGAGCCAGGGATGGAGACGGAGGGGAGGGAGTGGGAGAAAGAGCAAGAGAGAGACAGATAAAGAAAGGAAGGGAGAGAGAGAGAGAGAGAGAGAGAGGGAGAAAGAGAGAGAGAGAGAGACAGAGAGACACCGTAAGAGATAGAGAGAAAGAGAGAGATTGAGATAGGAAGAGAGAGAGAGAGAGCTGTAAACATATTGTTGTGGGGTAGAATGCGGGGGAGTTGGGATGGGGGAGGAACGGTCGAGGATCAGTGGCGGGACCCTTGAATTGTAGATATTCTCCAAATGCTGTTTGCACGTAAGGGCTCTTATTCCTGTTCTAAGGAGCTGGGCCTGGGCGCCGGTCTGGCGGCTACGTGGTTGCTGTCGCCGCCCCATCGCCGCCTTGTCGCCGCCCGTCTTCTTGGCCTGGGCTCTGGTCTGGCGGCTATGTTGTCGCCGTCGCCTCCCCGTCGCCGCGTCGTCGCCGCCCGTCGTCTGGGCATCGGTGCCGATCTGGCGGCTACGTGGTCGCCGTCCCCGTCCCGTCGCCGCGTTTTCGCCGTCCGTCGTTTGGGCCTGCGTTTAAATTGCGCAACGTAGAGTGCATCGCATTGATTGTACCATGTAAGTTGCACCACACATTTTTACACATAGACTGCGCACGCATTAGATTCTCCTTTCTAAAAAGAGGACTTCACCCCCCCCAGAATTGACGGGCCACTTTTTCGTATGGCAATTTACATATGATTATGTCCCATCGTCTTTCCTAAATATGAATTCATACTAACCCAGCCAAACCAGTATCGCCCCCCCCGCCATCCTCTGCAACAAATTCTATGCGCGCGCTCTCGTTTATCAAAAATCTTTAGTTTTCAAGAATCCCTTGCAAAAAATTGGACGAGGTGCGCACGCGCGCGTCGTCGCGCGCGCATGCCGGAATCCTTTAAAAACCTTCGTTTTCGGAAGGATTTCAAAATCGAGCTTCCAAAAAACATACAAAAACACAGGGTTATGCCGAAGTCTTTCGAACGCCCTTGCGCGCGTGCCGTCGCGAGAATCCTCTGCACGAATGGGATGAAGTGCGCACGCGCGCGTCGTCGCGCGCGCATGCCGAAATCCTTCAAAAACCTCCGATTTCGGAAGGATTTCAAAATCGAGTGTCCAACAAACATTGAAAAAAACAGGGTTTCGCAACACGGACTTCCAACAATAGCGTGCGCGCGCGCGCTCTTGCGTCGTCGTCGTCGCCGTCCTCCCTCCTCCCTCATCGTCGTCGTCGTCCTCTGTCTTTCCTCGTCGTCGTCGTTGTCGTCTTGGCGTCGTCGTCGTTTCCGTCGTCGTTGTCGCCGTGGTCGTCCTTCCTCCCTCGTCGTCTTCGTCGGCGTTTCGTCGTTGTCCCTCCTATTTCGTCGCCGTCGTCGTCGTCGTCGTCGTCGTCGTCGTCTTCCCTCCTCCCTCGTCGTTGTCGTCGTCGTTGTCGCCGTCCTCCCTTCTTCTTCGTCGTTCGCGCCGTCGCCGTCCTCCCTCCTCTCTCGTCGTTGTCGTCGTTGTCGCCGTCGTCGTCCTCCCTCCCTCGTCGTCGTCGTCGTCGTCTTCGTTGGCGTCGTTGTCGTCGTCGTCGTCTTCGTCGTCGTCGTCGTCGGCGTCGGCGTTGTCGTCGTCGTCGTCGGCGTCGTCGTCGTCGTTGTCATCGTCGTCGTCGGCTTCGGCGTCGGCGTCGGCGTCGTCGTCGATGTCGTCGTCGTCGTCGTCGTCATCGTTGTCGGCGTCGTTGAAGTCGATGGAGACGTCGCCGGTGTAGTCGTTGTCGGCGGCGTCGTCGTCGTCGTCGTTGTCGCTGTCGTCGTCGGCGTCGGTGTCGTTGCCAAGCGCCATTTGGTATCGACAGTCACGGTCTTGAGAGATTTTGCAAACCAAGTTGCGGGTGGGTGGGTGGGATGTTTGCGCGAGCAGTGGAGTGGACAACTCACTGCGGAAAGAGATTCATTCTCTTTTATAAAAAGAGAATAGACTCTACCCCCCCTCTCCGGAGTTATCCGCCCCCCTTTCGGATATGTAAATCACATATGATCCTGACCGCATGCCCATCCTAATAGAAATATTGCGACCAAGTTGCGGTTGGGAGGGCGGGATATTTGCACGAGCAGTGGAGAAGACAGCTTCAAGATAGTCAAAGTGAATTCTCCATTCTAATAAGAGAATAGACTACCCCCCCCCCGGCGGTCGCCGCCCCCCTTTCGGGTATGTGATTCATATTTGGTTCTGATCACTGTCCCAGGGGAACCGGTATCGACCCCCTTGAGGTTCCCTTGTAAAATACGATACGCGGGGACATCTGTTGTTCTAACATGGCATTTTTTTCGCGAAACCTTTGCAACAAATTTGACGAAGTGCAGACGCGCGCGCCGTCGCGCGCGCATGCCGAAATCCTCCAAAAACCTTCGGTGCCGGAGGGATTTCGCAATCGAGTTTCCAAAAAGCATACGAAAACACAAGGTTTCGCAACACTGGTTTGTTATAAAAACTTACGCACGAGCTCTTGCGAAATCTTGAGGAGACCACTGGTTTTGCAAGATTTTCACAAAATGCTACCACACGGGCTTCGCGCGCGCATGTCGAAATCTGTCGAACGCCTTTGCGAGTGTGCCGTCGCGAGGATCCTCTGCAAAAAAGGGACGAAGTGCGGACGCGCGCGTCGTCGCGCGCGTATGCCGAAATCCTTCAAAACCCATCGGCTTCTGAAATATTCTACAGGCTTACGCCACATCCGCCGACCCCTTCTGTGAGTGTTGCGAGGCCAGGAGTTTCTGGCCAGCGGCGTCTTGTGTGAGGGTGCTGTGTCGCGCGCGAGTGGTGGCAGATACGTAGGGGGCCCAAATGTTTGCGTGATGCCGGTGGTCTGGGGCGTGTTTTGCGAGCGCCTTGCGTGCTGTGCACCCGGGTGCGGGGTGTCCTTCTGGGAGGTCGGCCTTTCGACCCGCAACCAAGTGGAGGACCACCGGAAGACGAAAGGAACAAGAGTAGCGTGCGGAAGCTGTGATCAGCGAGGCATCACCGCGAAACATGTGGCAGATGAGTCGAAACGGGTGACGAGGCCGTTGACGTTCGCAGCGCGCACGAAACAGTTCGCGCGGCAGCAACACACTAGCGCCGAGCAAGATAGTGAGCATGTCGCGAGGAAGAGTAAGGCTGTATGCGCGGAGTGCATTGCAGTTGGCTTGACGGCTCGCAATACGGAAGCGTCTGGGGGTCTTTGGGGGGCCTCCTGGGGGCCTCTTGGGGGCTCATTGGGGCGTCTTGGCGGCCTCTTGGGGGCCTCTGGCGGCCTCTTGAGGCACTCTTGGGCCCCCCTGGGGCTCGTGGAGGCGGAAAGCTAGATTATTGAATTTTTGGTTGCCCTCTTGGGCCCCTCTCGGTGCCGTCTTGGAGCCTCCTGGGGCCGTCTTGGGGACCTCTTGGGCCGTCTTGGGGCCATCTTGGGCCGTCGTAGGGCCGTCTTGGAGGCCTCTTGGGCCGTCTTGGGGCGGTCTTCGGGGTCTCTTGGGCCGTCTTGGAGCGTCGGAAAGCCCACGAGGCGAATTTGTGAAACATATATGTTTTTTTTTCGAAGGAAATGCGCATTTTTTGCGTCTAGGGACCCTCTTGGGACGCATCTTGGAGGCCCCTTTGGGGCGTCTTGGGCCAGCTGGATGCCATCTCGGGTGTCTTCGATCGCTCTTGGACCGTGCGGGGCCATGTTGAGCTCTCTTGGAAGCCATTTGGAGCGCTCCTGGAGCGCTCTTGGCCGTCTTCGGGGCTCTCTTGGGCCGTCTTCGGCGCCTCTTGAGCCGTCTTGGCGCCCTCTTGGGCTGTCTTGGGGCCCTCTTGGAGGCTTCTTGGACCGTCTTGGGGCGGTCTCGGGGGCCTCTTGGGCCGTCTGGGAGCGTCGGAAAGCCCAAAAGGCGAATTTGTGAAACACGTGCGTTTTACGATGGGAACGGGCACACTTTTTGCGTCTAGAGGTCCTTTAGGGGCGCATATTGGATGCCTCTTGGGGCCTCTTGGGGGCATCTTGGGCCGTCTGGAGGCTATCTTCGGTGTCTTCGATCTCTCTTGGACCGTCTGGGACCATATTGAGCTCTCTTGGAGACCATTTGGAGCGCTCCTGGAGCGCTCTTGGGGCCGTCTTCGGTGCCCTCTTGGGCCGTCTTGGACGCCTGTTGGGCCGTCTTGGGGCCCTCTGGGGCTATCTTGGGACCCTCTTGGAGGCTTCTTGGGCCGTCTTGGGGCGGTCTTGGGGGCCTCTTGGGCCGTCTGGGAGCATCGGAAAGCTCAGAATGCGAATTTGTAAAAAAGGGTACGTTTTACGAAAGGAATGGACCAACTTTTGCGTCTAAGGACCCTCTTGGGGCGCATCTCGGGGGCCTCTTGGGGCCTCGTGGGGACCTTGGGCCGTCTAGGTGGCCTCCTGGCTCGTCTTGGGGCCATCTTGGGCGTTTTGGAGCGCTCGTTTGACGTGTCGGGGCCCTCGTGCGCCGTCTTGGAAGCGTCTCGAGGCCTTCTTGGCTCGTCTTGAGCCCCTTTTGGGCCCAAAAAAGCCCCGTGAGTCGCTCGTCGTCGGCGAGCTGGGGGGGGGGTCAAATCTCCGGTTTGGGGTCCCTGGGGGGGGAATATGGGGGGGAACTATCTCACACGCCTAGAGACCCACAAGGGTTCGGCGGATTTCAACATGGTGTTTCCAAACAACCTACAAAAACACAAAGTTTCGCAACACGGATTTTCAACAAAAGCGTGCGCGCGGACTCTTGCGTCGTCGTCGTCGTCGTCGTCGTCGTCGTCGTCGTCGTCGTCGCCGTCCCGTAGCCATTTTGGCTCAAGATGCCTAGTTCCGCAGGGGAACAAGTGGATACCGCTAGTCCGCGGCCAGTGCCAGGGCTCGTGAGCCCGACAGCTTTCAACTTCCCGTGTGCCTCCTGCGGCCCGCAGGTGAGCTTTCTCTCCATCCCTCACCAGACATGTCCAAGCCTGGCTATGTCAAGTGTGCGGCGTGCTCGTACAATTGGACGTGGAAAGGCAAAGACAGGTGCTTCAGTTGTGGCAAGTCGCTCGAGCTGGCGGTCACTCCGTGGCGCAGCCAGCAGCCGCGCGGGGCGTGGGACACGCGCGTGCAGGCTGCGCTGCAGGACGAGCAGGCGGGCTGGCAAGACGGCTGGAAGCCATGGAGCGCCTGGCCCAAGTCCAAGGGTGGCCGCAAGCGGCAGCCACAGTTACAACCTTCGTCCAAGCCGCCCGACGCCGAGCCGACGGACACTGACGCCCTCTTGGCCATGCTGGACAAATCTCTCTCGGAGGAGGCCCGCGCTGAGCTGGCACTCTTCAAAGACAAGATCGCACCGCCCAAGCCAGCTCAGCAGGAATCACTCGACGCGAAGTACCAACGTCTCCTTGCAGCTGAACGTAAGGCAGCGGCAGCACTTACGAAGGCGGCAACCTCGGAGAGCAAGGCCAAGGAATGGGTCGTCCAATGCGAGGCCCACACTCAGCACTGTGCGGAGGCCCTCGGTGACGCCCAGGCCGCGGTGCAGGAGACCCTCGACGCGATCAACGAGGCGCGCGGCACGCGGACGCCCTCGGCGTTCAAGTCGACGGCAGGCGGCCTCCACCTCAGCAAGCTCCTCCTCAGCGGGGAGGACCTCGCCTTTGAGGAGGGCGAGGCCTTCGACACCTCCGACCTCGAGCTCGACGCCGAGGACGCCAAGAAGTGGGCAGACCTCAAGCAGCAGTTCCTCGACGAGCTCAAGACGAAGGTCAAGGAGGTCTTCGGCTCAGGCGCCGCGGCTATCCAGCAGCGCAAGCAAGAGCTGGAAGCCTTGCGCAGCAGGCTCCGCGCCAAGCGGCCTCGCACCGAGGCCGACGGCAGTGGGGCTCAGGCCGCCGAGGCGGGCGCGGGCAGCGCCGCGTCACCACCCGCTGCTGCAGCTGATGGTGGTGATGGCGGTCGCCCTGGCCCTGAGGCTGCAGCTCCTGCCGCTGCGTCTGCTGCCGCTCCTGCCGCAGCGAGTGCAGCAAAGCGATCGGATGCAGCCACCAAGCTTGCCGAGGCTGCAAGGGCTCGCGCCCACGAGGAGCGAACCAAAGATAAGGAGGACATTTAGCCAGCCCAGCTTTCGCACGATCTACGTGCGGAACATTACCGACTGGGGGCCAAAGTGCAAGAAGATCGTGAAGTCGCCGCCGTTCCAGGCGGACATCCTCGGACTATTGGAGACTCATGAGAGCGAGCGCACCAGTGACGCAGTGCTTGCAGAGTTCGATGCATCAGCTTGGAAGGCAGTTATCTCACCGTCGCGAGCCGACGGTACAGTGCAGAAGGCAGGTGGAGTGGTCTTGGGAGCTCGACGCCACCTACAGTGTTCATCATTGGGCCACCTGGCCCGCTATCGCAACCAGACAAAGGGACAGTTGCGCCACAGGAAGCCAGAGCCCCACTTCGTCGCAGGGCCCATTGACTTCTGGGACTTCCAGGCGCTCACCATCCAGATGCATCATGGCCAGCTCACGGTGCTCATTGTGTACCTCACCACATCCATCGGGGTGGCTGGCCAGAACCTCATCAAGCTACAGAACCTTGGAGCTGTCATCAAGAGTCTCATGGGGGATTGGATCGCGATTGGCGATTGGAACGTGGTACCAACGGAGCTGGAGGAGTCAGGATGGGTCAACTATGTCGACGGCCGCATCTGTAAGCCCTCCAACGTCTCGTTCACTCAGTTCACAGGTGGCCGCATGCTGGATTACGCGGTCATCGGAGGGCCAGGTCATCACGTGCCCGCCAAACTCTTTGCGGACACGATGGGGGACCACAAGAGTCACATGGGCCTGGTGGCCCAGTACACTTCACAGTCGGCGCCAGCATGGGCTCTGATCTTGCCGACTCCCTTCTCCTTCGCTCACCCTCCAGCGGAGCAGAAGGCTGCCGACCCGCATAGCAAGCGCTCACGGGCCAAGCGCGAGGCTGAGCAGCGCAGGCTCGAGCGTATGCAGGACAACCCCTTGGAGGCCCTCAACCCAGAGGTCACCGAGGCGGCGTCTCAGCAGCAGCCAGTGGATGGCCCACCCCTGCCCGCGCACATGTGCGGGCCGCCTTCGAGAGGAGGCCGCGCGGTGCCAGCCGACCTGCCGTCGCGGGCCCCCGTTGGCCCTGCGATCTGGCGGTCGGCCGAGGCAGGGGCAGCCCCCAGTGCTGCGGAGGCGCAGGACATGGACCACGGCGAGCAGCAGTCCCACGACCGTTTGCTGGGCTTTCCGATGACGCCGCCGTGCCCGACGGTGGCCAGGCTCACGGCGGCAGAGAAGGACGAGCTGTGGGCACAGGTCTGCCACCGCCAGGTCCAGTACGATGCACCGCCCGACTACATTCGGGACTCCCAGGCGTACCAGTCCTCATCCGAGGCCGCCGACAATTTGGGCAAGCAGTACGCCAGATGGATCACGCACGTCGAATACTTCTATACAGACATCATGAATGTATCAGCTGATGAGCGGCACCGCTATGTTGGCCGAGGCATGGCACGCGCTCCTGCCCATATGAAGATCCGAGCACCTCGAGCAGGCACGGGGGCATGCACCTCCAATCGGGCAACGCGATGGTGGAGCACTATGGCAGCATGTACTCAGCTGCTGGCAAAGGCCATGGCCAGGACGAACGACGCGCTCTCCGAGGCTGGTGAGAACGCGGCAGACATCATCTACACCCATGCACACGCTATGCCCGATGACAACCTTGTTCCTATTGACAATGCCACCAAGCTCAAGTGGCAGCATGGTCTATCAGCTGTGCGTGAATGGTCTACTGACCAGGCTGCCACCATGGCCTATGCACTGGGGATCCTGGCCGACAGGTTCCAGCGCGCTGAGGTCCGACAAGGACTACAGGCCTTCCAGGAGTGGGTCATCCAGTGCACGGCCAAGAGACCTAGCAAGGTCCTCAAGTGGAGCACCGACTCAGCGGGGCCGATCATGGAGTACGGGGTCGGGCCTACGGCGTCCACCGACCTCCTTAGCATCATGGAGGGCAAGCGAGGTGCATGGTCGCAGCGCTGGAGTGGCACAGTTAACCTCTCCGACCTCCAGGCGTTCCGCCGCAAGTGCAGACTCCTTGCGGAACTTGAGGACGCATGGCAGCCCATTGATCCCTACCTCATACACGAGAAGGCCACCGTCCTGCCCAACGCCACGGGCCGTGGCAGTGACAACCTCGGCCCCTTGGACATTCGCAACTTGCCGTTCCAGGCCAAGCAGGACCTGGCTGATTTCTTCAACCAGTGCGAGAGGCAGATGGCGTGGCCGTGGCAGCTCATGAGTGTACTTGTGGGCATGCTTCCGAAGCCAGACGGCTCGGAGAGGGGTGTCGCATTGATTCCATGGCTCATGCGCTTCTGGGCGCAGATGCGTAAGGTCATCGGGGCCGATTGGTGCGCGGCCAAGGCCGGACACTGGGACCAGGCCATCAAGGGCAGCAGTGCCCTCCAGTGCGGCATCTTCCGCCTGTTCTGCGACGAAGTCGACGACGAGCTGGACGTGCACTACGCCAACGTGATGTGGGACTTCGCAGAATTCTACGACAGCGTCAACCCCATCATGGCATTCGAGGCGGCTCTCAGGCTCGACTTCTCGCCCAGGAAGCTTGGCATGGCGGCGGTCCTGTACATGTCACCGAGGATGCTGCGCTCCAGGGGCGCGATCGCGGCACCCATCCAGCCCACGGGATCGCTTTTGACAGGAGATAGCGATGCAAATAATCTGGCCAGAGCTGTTTTATATGATTTGCTCGATGACATCCACCGCCAGTTTTTACCCAGAGGTGTCAGATCATACCAATGGGTTGACGATATAAACCAGCGTGCTGAAGGGCCAAAGCATGTCCTGGCTCCCGTCCTGGCCAAGGCGGCCTCCGTTTTCTTCCATGGTGCCCGTTCCCTTGGCCTCGACATTTCGGGGAAGTCTGGGGTTATCGGGGCCGACATCGATATGGCCAAAGCAGTTTGCGATGAATTTAATAAGAATGTGCCTGAGTTTAAACTTAGACCCAGTGCGGTGATTGCTGACCTTGGGCTCGAAAGGGGGCCCAGAAGGCAGAACAAAATCAAGCGCAACAAGCGTGTCAGCCAAGCGTTCCGCCAGCTTTCTAAGTTTCGCAAGGTTTCTAAGTTTAGTCGCATCCGCCTAGCCAGGCGGAAGCTGACCCTTATGTCTCCCGTGCCCCGCATTGCCTACGGAGCTATGGCTACAGGCATGGCCCCGTCCCAGATTTTGAAGGTTCAACGCGCTGTGGCGGGGGCGTTAGGGGGTCGCAAGGCTGGACGCTGCCTGACTGCTTACCTGGCGCTTGAACTCGGGAATCGCAACCCAGGCATAGAACTTAGAGTCCGCCAGCTGCAGACGTGGTTTCAGTTTATCACCCGTGACAAAGACAGTGAGCACGTCCTTCCCAGACTTGCCAGAGCTTGGCCCAAGGTGGCCAACCGTGTCGCCCAGACCCCGAAGACCGACCGCTGGAGACATGTCCGAGGACCGATGGCGGGGGCGGTCGCGGCGCTTCTGGATGCGGGTTGGACGGCCACTGATGACACGTATTTAACTTGGTGTTCACCAGTCACAGACGACTGGTGGCGACTATCACTGCAGTCTGGCGATATCGACTACGAACCTTTTCTTGAAGAATTCACCCAGTGCCTGTGGAGCCAAGCGTGGAAGCAAGCTAGCCAGCACTACTTGGGCGGGGGGCTGGAGGGTGGGGCGGACCTCTTCTCCCTTCGGCAGTCTCTCCGCACCTTAGACAAGATGACCTCCACAGCTGCTCCAGGCATCAGGGGTAATGTAATGGCCATGGCAACTGGATCAACCTGGCCGAGGTCTAGGCTTTGCGAGGCTGGCATCTTCGGCGAATCCGACTCTTTTTGTGTGCGTTGTAATGCCAATCAGCCAGAGACTCCTTTTCATCGATCGTGGCAGTGCAGCGCCAACTCTCATCTGGACGTCTGCCGTGAGACGGCGGACCTCGAGCAAGAGGCCGCCGATGGATATCAGCAGTTTCCTTGTTTCTGGCTTCGAGGTCTCATCCCTGCGTCGTGGAACGTTGTCGATCCCCCCCTCAGTGAGGCCCGCGCGTGGACGTGGCAAACCCAACCCGATGCCATTGCCAACCTCGAGCCAGGGACCCAGTTTTGGGGGGCGGGTGACGGCTCTGGAGGAGCCCACACCAAAGACCCTCGCCTCCGTAGATGTGGATGGGCATTTACCCATCTTGCGGCGTGGTGTAAAGACCCTTGCTGGAACCAGATTGGGCCCATCAAAGGCCAAGCGGGGAACCTCCCAGGGCCCAAGCAGTCTAGCAACCGTGCCGAATTGCTGGCTCTCATTTGCTGGCTGGAGGATCTTCCCCTTGAGTTTAACCTACCGCCTGACGGCGAGCTACACTTTATAACTGACTCGGCCTATGTGGCCCGTGGCGTGTCTCGGCCCGATGCCAGCAAACCCAGAACCAACAGGGATCTCTGGAAGAGATTTCGGAGTGCCCGAGGTGGGCGCCGCGTTTTATGCCATAAAGTCGAGAGCCACGTGGCCCAAGCCAGGCGTGCTGAAATGAATTTTCCAGAGCTTTGGATCCAGGCCAACAGTTTAGTAGATACCCATGCTGATGACGCGGCTACGAAGTTTCAGCTTCACCCCGACCAGGTCCAGAATGTCATAGACATTGAAGCTAAGGCCGCCAGAGTTCGTAGGCGTTTGTGCACTGTGCTCGAAGAAGTTATGCAGGCAGACAATGAAGCCAGGGCCCAGGTTGAGAGACTCCCGACCCTGGCCGAGCAGCAGCGAGCACCCCGCCCCAGCGTCTTGCAGAAAGCTGTGGCAACCAGTGCGCATACCCCATCCGTTGTCAAGCAGGGACGACAGGGGATCAAAGCCACGTGTTCGGTTTGTCTCGGTCGTGTGGGTGGCAGGGCCCGTGTTCTCAAATGGCTCTTGACCCCCTGTCACCCAGTTGGTATCCCTGACGGTGCTGCCCAACCCGCGGGTAGGGTCCCTGAGGCCCACCAGAGGCTACAAATCGGGGGCCGATCTCCTCATCCGTCGCACAATGTTGTGGCCCATGGAGACATCCCTATTTTCTATTGCAGCAACTGTGGGTATATGTGTGCACGCGAGGGCGGAGCCCTCAGGAACCTTGCCAGAGAGTGCCGTCCTGCCACCAAGGACGGCAGATACAACCTGGAGCTGATTGCTAAAGGTATCTGGCCAGGGAGCTCTGCAGGGGCTGCGGAATTCAATAGAAAGACAGGCCTTCGTCCCAAGGCGAAGGCAGCGGCAAAGCGTCGATAAGACCTTGACGAGCAATGCTCAGCAATGCAATCCAAAAAAGTCGTCGTCGCCGTCCTCCCTCCTCCCGCGTCGTCGCCGTCGTCGTCGCCTACGTCGTCCTCTGTCTTTCCTCGTGTTCGTCGTCGTCGTCCTCTTTGGCGTCGTGGTCATTTCCGTCGTCGTTCTCGCCGTGGTCGTCCTTCCTCCTCCTCCCTCGTCGTCGTCGTCGTCGTTGTCGTCCGTCGTCGGCGTCTCGTCGTCGTCCCTCCTATTGCGTCGCCGTCGTCGTCGTCGTCGTCGTCGTCGTTGTCGTCGTCCGTCATCTTCCCTCCTCCCTCGTCGTTGTCGTCGTCGGCGTCGCCGTCTTTCCTCCGTCTTCGTCATTCGCGTCGTCGCCGTCCTTCCTCCTCCCTCGTCGTTGTCGTCGTTTCGTCGTTGTCGCCGTCGTCGTCCTCCCTCCCTCGTCGTCGTCTTCGTTGGCGACGTCGTCGTCGTCTTCGTCGTCGTCGTCGTCGGCGTCGGCGTCGTCGTTTTCGTCGTCGTCGACGTCGGCGTCGTCGTCGTCGCCGTCTCCGTCGTCGTCGTCGTCGTCGTCGTCGTCGGCGTCGTTGACGTTGCCGTCGTCGTCGTCGGTGTCGTCGTTGTCGTCGTCGTCGGCGTCGTCATCGTCGTCGTCGTTGTTATCGTCGTCGTCGTCGTCGGCGTCGGCGTCGTCGTCGTCGGTGTCGTCGTCGTCGTCGTCGTCGTCGTCGTCGTCGTCGTCGTCGTTGTCGGCGTCGTCGAATTCGTTGGAGACGTCGTCGGTGTCGTCGTTGTCGGCGGCGTCGTCGTCGTCGTTGTCTCTGTCGTCGCCGGCGTCGCTGTCGTTGCCAAGTGCCATTTGGTACCCACCGTCACGGTCTTAAGAGATGTTGCAAACCAAGTTGCGGGTGGGTGGGGGGGATGTTTGCGCGAGCAGTGGAGGCGGTCAAGCGCGGTTCAGGGTAGTTTTTTTTTTTTTTTTTTTTTTTTTTTTTTTTTTTTTTTTTTTTTTTTTTTTTTATCCCCCCCCCCGTTTTTTTTTTTTTTTTTTTTTTTTTTTTTTTTTTTTGTTTTTAAACAAAAATATATATATTATATATATATATATATATATATATATATATATTATATATTATATAAGAAAAAAAAAAAGACCCCCCCCGGAATTAACGCGTCCCCCTGGGGTAGAATAGTTTTATACATATTCTGCACACTCGTCCATCCTAAATTTGAAATCGTATCACCCCAGCCAAACCGGCATCCCCCCCCCGTAGGTCCCCTGGAAAAAAAACACTATGTGGTGACATTTTTTGTTCTAACATAGCACTTTTTCGCGAATCCCTTGCACAAAACGTGACGAATTGCACACGCGCGCGTCGTCGCGCGCGCATGCCGAAATCCTTCAAAAACCTTCGGTGCCGGAAGGATTTCGCAATCGAGTTTCCAAAACACATACAAAAACACAGGGCTTCGCAACACAGAGTTGCTAAAACAGCTTCCGCGCGAGCTCTTGCGAACTCTGAAAAACATATTTTTATACAAAAAAAAGATTTTCACAACATGCTACAAAACGGGCGTCGCGCGCGCATGTCGAAATCAGTCGAACGCCCTTGCGCGTGTGCCGTCGCGAGAATCCCCTGCAACAAATGGGACGAAGTGCATACGCGCGCGTCGTCGCGCGCGTACGCCGAAATCCTTCACAACCCATCGGTTTCGGAAGGATTTCGAAATCGCATGTCCAAGAAACCTACAAAAACACAAGGTTTCGCAACATTGATTTTCAACAAAGGCGTGCGCGCGCGCTCTTGCGTCGTCGTCGTCGTCGTCGTCGCCGTCCTCCCTCCTCCCGCGTCGTCGTCGTCGTCGCCTACGTCGTCCTCTGTCTTTTCTCGTGTTCGTCGTCATCGTCCTCTTTGGCGTCGTGGTCGTTTCCGTCGTCGTTGTCGCCGTGGTCGTCCTTCCTCCTCCTCCCTCGTCGTCGTCGTCGTCCGTCGTCGGCGTCTCGTCGTCGTCCCTCCTATTCGTCGTCGTCGTCGTCGTTGTCGTCGTCGTCTTCCCTCCTCCCTCGTCGTTGTCGTCGTCGGCGTCGCCGTCCTTCCTCCTTCGTCGTCGTTCGCGTAGTCGCCGTCCTCCCTCCTCCCTCGTCGTTGTCGTCGTTGTCGCCGTCGTCGTCCTTCCTCCTCCCTCGTCGTCGCCTTCGTTGGCGTCGTCGTCGTCGTCTTCGTCGTCGTCGGCGTTGGCGTCGTTGTCGTCGTCGAAGTCGTCGGAGACGTCCTCGGTGTCGTCCTAGTCGTTGTCGTCGGTGTCGTCGCAGTCGGTCTGAACAGGTTTTGCAACTCAAGTTGCGGGTGGGTGGGTGGGATGTTTGCACGAGCAGTGGAGAGGACAGCTTCAAGACAGTCAAAGTGGATTCTCCTTTCTAAAAAGAGAATAGACTCTACCCCCCCCCACGGACTTAACGCCTCCTCCTGGGATATTATAATTTCATATTAATTCTGCACATTCGTCCATCCTAAATATGAAATCGTAGCATCCCAGCCAAACCGGTATCCCCCCCCTGCGGTTCTTTTGTAAAAAAAAAAACACTATGCGGTGACATTTTTTGTTCTAGCATAGCACTTTTTCGCGAATCCCTAGCAACAGATGAGACGAAATGCGCACGCGCGCGTCGTCGCGCGCGCATGCCGAAATCCTTCAAAAACCTGCGGTGCAGGAAGGAATTCGCAATCGAGTTCCAAAAGAACATACAGCAACACAGGGTTTCGCAACACAGAGTTGCTAAACAAACTTCCGCGAAAGCTCTTGCGAAATCTTAAGAAAGCCATTGGTTGTTCAATATTTTCACAACATGCTACCAAACGGGCTTCGCGCGCGCATGTCGAAATCTGTCGAACGCCCTTGCGCGTGTGCCGTCGCGAGAATCCTCTGCAAAGAATGGGACGAAGTGCAGACGCACGCGTCGTCGCGCGCGTACGCCGAAATCCTTCAAAACCCATCGGTTTCGGAAGGATTTCGAAATCGCATGTCCAAGAAACCTACAAAAACACAAGGTTTCGCAACATTGATTTTCAACAAAAGCGTGCGCGCGCGCTCTTGCGTCGTCGTCGTCGTCGTCGTCGCCGTCCTCCCTCCTCCCGCGTCGTCGTCGTCGTCGTCGCCTACGTCGTCCTCTGTCTTTCCTCGTGTTCGTCGTCGTCGTCCTCTTTGGCGTCGTGGTCGTTTCCGTCGTCGTTGTCGCCGTGGTCGTCCTTCCTCCTCCTCCCCCTCGTCGTCGTCGTCGTCCGTCGTCGGCGTCTCGTCGTCGTCCCTCCTATTTCGTCGCCGTCGTCGTCGTCGTCGTTGTCGTCGTCGTCGTCGTCTTCCCTCCTCCCCCGTCGTTGCCGTCGTCGGCGTCGCCGTCCTTCCTCCTTCGTCGTCGTTCGCGTCGTCGCCGTCCTCCCTCCTCCCTCGTCGTTGTCGTCGTTGTCGCCGTCGTCGTCTTCCCTCTTTCCTCGTTGTCTTCGTTAGCGACGTCGTCATCGTCGTCGTCGTC